TGTATGTGAAGGTCTGTCCCTTAAAACTGGTATGTTGTTTGTTGTTCTAGGGCATCCGGTCATGTAGATAGATTTGCAGATCTTATGGTGAAGGATGTGAACACAGGAGAATGGACCATTTGATTAAAGCCCACCTGGAGGAACTGGCTGCTGACAAGAAAACTCCTGTTTAGCCTACTTTCGCCTACATGTTGGTCTCCACTCTCATCCGACGCTTCCTTGTGGTTGTCTGGTTCAGGGTAGGGTGTGGTATTTCTCTGAATTTGAATATGTATGGGCACCAGTGGACTTGGGTGAAATTCATGAATTTGGAACGGGGAAAACAAAGGGGGGTTGTGGATAGGCGGGCGTTTGGGGTTCCGACTACTGAGACGGTAGGACGAGATTCTGTCTCAGGGCGACTTCTGGGCCTTGCTCGCACAAGGAGATAGAAACACATGAAACACACACTTCACTCAAAACTGTTACTCTTTATTTGCAGATGCGAACGAGAAGTACCTATTACACTTTTGAATTTGTGTACTGGACTTGGCCAACACCAATTTAACCTTCGGGTGGTCACTCCTGTTACTCACTAAGGCGACTCACTCCTGTAACTCCCTTTTTGTGGCTCACTCTTGTTACTCCCTTTTGATGACTGACTGCTTTGGAGAGGCAGAAGTCCTGACGGTTCCGGGAACGTCTGGTTTCCTCTCCTCTGAAATTTTGCTGATTGGGTGAACCTAAAATTTGGGTGTTTCTCTCATTTACATTCAGCCAATCGCTAACAAGATCCATGTTAATTTAGGCCTAAGTACAAGACGGTCCCTCTGACAGCACTTAAATAAATGCTCAAACGATCGATCGTTATGCCCCTCCGAAAATTATTGCGACTCGTATCTGTCAAGTCTCAAATTTTCAAAGACTTGCAACCACCGAAGTTAAATATTGAAATCCCCAGAAAACACAGCGGGATACTTCCTGCTCCGTTCTGGGGGTTTCAAGTGACCTGCAGCTTGCTTGTCCCTCAGAAAAACCACATGTTGCCCTTGGCATATGCTGGTGCTGGGGTCAATTCTGTATCATCTTGTGTTAACAGTAATGCAGCTTGTTTACTTGTAGTACATTATAATTATGAATGTAAATCAACAACATTGCTGAGATTCCTGCATGTTGCGGTTACACCTGAAGCTATCAGGGATGAGTGCCAGGACATTATAGTCAGAGTAATTACATATACTCGTATATATCAGAATACTGCTACCAAATTCCAAATGACAAACCCTGTAACTGCACACAAATCCAGGCTCTACACAGCACACTCAAGTGATGTGACTAACAAGTAAAGGAAGCAAAATAACTAAATGAATGCGTGACTACGGTGTTAACGTAGAAAATGTTCAGAAATGTAAATCTAGGAAACTGTATCAAATGAGGAACGAGGTGAGTCATGACTAATCCATCGCTACCTCAAGCAATATTTCGTGTTTCTTTGAACAAATCCGTTCTCACTTTTACATCATAAGCTTTTACCTATGCCGAACAGGAAATCTGTGCTTTTGTACATTATTTAGAGACTTTTTTGGGGTTTGAATCCCTCCTTCTGAGCGCCATTAGCAAGCAGTATGTAGCTTGTCTTTCTGTCCCTTATCTGGTTACAGGCATCAGTACTATAGCCAGGAACTGGCAGATTTTTGTGACACTTGCTTCGAACATCGTTCCACTGGACATGGTATTCTACTATATTTTACATTCCTTTCATTCCAGTGCGAATGTTTGACAGGAAAAAGTCACTCCTGCCATTCAGTGTAGGATGAATAAGCTGGTATGGTGACCGATATCTGCACTTTGAGAAAACTGAACCGAGGAGAATATAGGAGTTAAACAAGGAAGGAGACACAGGAGAACGGAATAAACTACATAATAGGAAATCTTTCATTTCGTACTCTTTGCTTCTTATTGTTAGGGTTATTAATTAAAAAATATTGCAATTTGTGAGAACTGAAACGTGTGGCGAAACAAGAAGCACAATAACGATTTGGTTTTTGAAAAGTCATAGTGAAGAATCCAGCTAGAATTCGGGACGATGTTGAGTATTCAAATGAATCAGGGAGAAATAAATTCTAGAACAGAATTATTGCCTATTTCACTTAAGTATTAAATGTTCAAGGAAGACTTTCTGTCATAGACTTAATAAGACTGATTTAATGGAGCAGATTCTTTATTGAGAAGGTAAAAATTGGCCCTAACTTTGCCAACATGCGGCGGTTGCTCGGTCGGTATAGTTTGCTTACGGACTAAAGCCGCGGCGTTTGTTTTGTTTGTAATAGTTGCTCAGCTCGTCAAGAAATTTCCAAGTCCCTGCCGCTGGTCCCAATCCTGAGTCGCATTTCGGTCGTAATCTGTTTGAATGTAATGGCATTTGTCCAGAAGCTGAAGAAGTGTAGGAAACGCATCAGTTGTCACATTCGGGAAAACATCGTGGATTCAAAGTGTGTACTTCTGGATCATTATCACTATAGCAACCTGCCTGACTACACGTCTTGACCCATAAATTTTGATTAGCAATGTTTCCCCCCCCCCCCGCCACATGGTAAATTTGTGACGGTGAGGGCAACATACTCATGCAGATAACTGATATTTATTTGGAAGTGAGAGATAAGTTGTGATGCGTTTTGGGAGCAAAATTCAGGATGGTACTTACACCACTAAAATTTAAACTGTTAAAAAATTTACAAGCTTCAGTGTCTTTACACGTTAGATGACAGAAAGGTGTAATGTAACAGAAGAACGAGGACTTTAGATATTTCGACGGAATTGAAATTGAAATTGATCTCGAAGTAAATGAATCGGTGGCATGGTTTGAATGAACATTACATGGGTGCAGTCATCGGCCAGTATAGCTGACTTCTACGTTGACAGAGAGATTACAGTGCACTGTAGCCTGGCTAATAAATAGACTGCTCACATTACAGGCAATGTGGCCCCAAATGTCACAGTTCCCATATCTCGCTTCACGCTGTACCTCCTTGCAGTGTTCATCGAATGTGGGGCGTGTCCGTTGTTTTGCTATCCCTTAGCTGCGACTTCTGTGTGTCTGACAGTTTCTCCTGTGTACAATTGCTGTTTACTGTAATGGTCTAACATTTGTATTCGAGAGATATCCGGTTCAAATGTCTCTCTACTGGTTTGCAGGCTATTTGCATGCTCAGGTGAACTAGCCCGCATGCCATAATTACAGCACAGTTCAACATTGTCAATCTAGTGTCACCGTATGTGTCAGGATTGGTGTAAGGGCCTCAGTTATAGTCAGATTGGTGTGGGGATGGGAGATTATAATGTGGTGATCTCTATCAGTAACGATAAATTTTGGTCATGAGAGATTTTTCTTCATATTTCGTATATTAGCCAAAAACACGAAGTAACTTTTCGTGATTTTACATAAGTAAATATCTCAAAATATATGGATTCTACGAAGCCCCGTGGCAACCGCCCAGGTCGCTCTTCTTTAAACCGGTGCTGATGTCATAAGAATATGCGTATAAAGATCACTGTACAATTTTCATGGCATCTGCAGTTACCTTGGTAACACCTTCTTAAGCAAAGCTTTGCTATTAATTCACGGAATTAAGTAACTGCAATGTTTTAGTTTTGAGGGTCATGATTTCTTTTGTGGAACCACACAATTTTGCTTTGAATTTCTGAGAAGTGTTGAAGGAAAATGAAGCAAGAATTTCTCAGAAGAACTGTTCATCTACTTTCCTTTGAAACGACATGGACAGCATATAACACGACACCTTCAACAATTCTTTGTGCTTATCCAGCCACTGACTAGCAACGATAGGGAGGAACACAGACAGACCCACAGCCTCTCGTTTGATGCGATAAGGGCCGCATAGAAAACAATTCTTCAACTGTTGCATGTATTCGTTGCAGTGGGGACGTGTTTATGTAGCCGTTGCTTAGTATCGGTAGCAGGTATGCACATGCAGACATATGGACTGATGGGAATGATTTGTGAATTATGCCGATGGGATGGGCTGAGGTTGCGTAATATGTTACATTCATATAGACTGCTTCAGATATTCAGCAGCTGACACACACACACA